AATTTCACCGGGCTCATGACCGAATAGACAAGTACAATCATCAGACATTTTTTATTATATTAAAATACAAATCTTCAGATAATCAAAATATAATAGCCCTCACATTGGGCCAGCAAATAACAATATGTGATTGAATGCATTGTTGGTACCATCAAACTGGCAATCAAGTCAATCCGGTAGCATAACCTACCTCAGTTATTTTATTACAATGGAAATCTGTTACGCTCACCAAACAAGCATACAAGGTCAAAATAAGCATTTTCCTGGAGTGCTACTTATAGGTGATCGTCCACACATGTTGACAATGATCATGAATGTTACATGGCGGAGACTGAAAATGCAGAAATCGGTCAAGATCGCTAAGCTGACATGCGATATCAAATGACACATAAAATGTATTTGACCCATCAAACTCGCGATAAAGCCAACCCGGTAGCATAACCTAGCTCAGTTATTTTATTGGGCGGAAATCAATTGGAAACATTAAGCTGATATATGAAATTTAATATAAAATCTGACCCATAACTTGAATGACGAGGCAAATGCGAAACGTTCATCACTCGAATGATGAGGCAAATGCAAAACTCACGTCACTCGAATGACGAGGCAAACGCAAAACGTTCGTCATCCGATAAGCAGACTATAAACGTCTCATCTTTGACGAGGCAAATGCAAAACGTACGTCACTCGAATGATGAGGCAAATGCAAAACGTATGTCACTCGAATGACGAGGCAAATGCAAAATGTATGTCACACCTGAGATTATTATAGTCTAATCTAAGTCGTTTTGAGTTTATATAAACTCAAAACAACTTAAGTGTTTTAAGGATGGTGGTGGTTCCTCAAGAATCCTGGCAGGAATTCAACTATATTTTGGACAATAACCAGTTATAGTGGCCAAATGTGATCAATAAATATTTAATTTAAGTTTGAAAATACTGAAAATATAATGTTTTATTAATATGATTTAGGCCATGGTTGGCAAATTTATTGGTCCATTGAGAACTGGCAGACTTCGGACTGGTCCATTGCCATTAATAAAACACTAAATTTGGTTAAAATGTTACCAATGGACCACCGATGGACTACAGTCGGCGCTCGATATAGTGAAGTTTGGCTAGTACAAATTTGAAAACTATCTTCTGAAAAATTGAATTTGATTGGATAATAACGCAGATAGTTTCCAAATTGTACTAGCCAAAACTCACTATATTGAGCGCCGACTGTACACATTTGCCAACCTTGACTTAGGCTGATAAAGTATCTGTGTGCTTTCAGTAAGAATAATCGATAAACTGAGAGAACTTTGGATGGGTTGATATTAATCCCCTAGAAACTGAAGATGCATCAAAGTGCATATCAAAGACTAAAAGCGGCAAGAATTTGTTGTTGATCATTTATAACTATTTGTTGATCATCCCTGGGAGTTTACGGTTACAAAATGAATTTTCTTCGTAGAACTTTATTTAAATCAAGTAGTTGCTATAATTTTTTGAATGGAAAAGCTAACAACATACAAAATTCGTTTCAACTTGGTTTCCAGTTAGTATTAATAATATAATAAATAATTGATTAAAAAAAAAAAAATTTAAATTGATCTCTTTTTTTGCAAATGAAAAAAAAAAAAAAGTACATCACCTGAATCACCAATACCAGAACAAATACTAAGAACATCGTTATCATATATTAATCAATATGGATGGACAATTAATACATTATCACAAGGAGCCAAATCTTTAGGATATTCATCAGTTGCACATGGATTATTTCCAAGAGGGGGAGTAGAATTGATTGATTTTTTCTTGGAGGATAGTCGACAAAAAATGATTTGCGAAATAAAGGATAAGGTGAACGAAGAGGGGTAATTAAAATAAATAAATAAATAAATAAATAAATTATATATCGAGTAAAGAAAAAATCAAGTGAATTATTTATCATAGTTTAAAAATACCTCAGAAAATTCGTTTGGCTTGTATAACAAGATTAAATCTAACGAAACCTTACATCAAGAAATGGCCAGAGGTAATCGATTGTGATTAATATTATATAACAATAATATTAATAATAACAAGTAAAATAATACTAATACTAATTAACACATTTGTTTTTTTTTGTGCAGGCTCTTGCAATTATGTCACAACCAAATAATTTTTACATGTCATTTCTACATCTTGCTAAATTAGTTGATGATATTTGGTATCTCGCTGGTGACAAAAGTGCTGATGTTTGTATTTAATTGATTGTTAATTCAAGAAAAAATTATTAATAATAATGAATAATTTGATTTAAAATAAAATTATTTTCTAATTTCATCAATTATTTATAAAGATGAATTGGTACAGTAAAAGAACAACGCTTGCAATGATATACTCTACTACAGGTACTGTATTGCATTATATATATATATATATATATATATATATATATATATTATAATACATTATATGTTAATAATATTATTATTATTACGTATTAGAGTTGTATATGACTCAAGATAATTCACCAGATTTTATGGGAACTTATCAATTTCTGGATAGAAGATTGCAAGATACTGCAACATTTGGTAAATCTGTAGCAGATGTTAAAGCATATTTAAGTTTTGTTGGTAGATCTTTGAATGGAGTTTTAGAATCAGTGAGTGTCCTTTTATTTCTTGATCAATTTAATTATTTCATGTTTTTGTAAATTAAAAATGATTAATTATTCGTTTATTCATTTATTTTATTTATTATTTCTTACAGAAAAGAATCTTATAATATTCAAATAATTAGATTATTGTTGTTGTTACTATTAAAATAATAATTTACCAAAAAATCTATACTTTATTCATTTTATAGATGTAATTGAATTAATTAATTATTCCAACTTTTTATTTTTATTTCGTTGTCTCCAATCACCTTTTATTGGTTCTAAATTCGGATTATTTAATGCTTCGCCTGATTCGATTTGTTCTTTAATCCATGATTCCGGATTTGTGGATTTTGTCGATCCTTTTTGATAATCAGCCCAATCATCATTAGAAAGTAAATCATCTTCAACTGCTTTCCATTTCTCAACAAGGGAAGCCTAATAATTTTTAGTTATTTTGAGGGGAAAAGAAATAAAGTTCAAAATAAAATGAATTGCAAAGGATATTATAAAGCCTAACTATAAATCAAGTAAAATATACCCATATTATTTAAAAATTTTCTCCATTTCCAATTTTAAAAATTTTTTGTTTCAATCAATTTGTATTTTTTATGTATGTAAAAATATCTATTTAACAACTAAATTTGGAAACAATTTGATGACATATATTACCATTTTCTTATTCCGAAATCCTGATGACACACTGCTATTGCTACTACTAGCGACATTACTTTCTTTTTCTTTCTTGCGCTTTTTGTCACCAGTAATACTATTAGAGAAGACGAAGAAATAAGGACAACATCAATGTTAAAGATAAAAATGATGCAATTATAACGATGTTAAAGGTATATATCGTAATATATGATAATCAAATATTGATTGTATTGGGATACAAATATTGTGAATGATCTTTTGATGATGCTACCGTTGCAGTTGTTGTTGTTGTAGTTGCTTGATCAACAGGCTCAACAAAATATTGTTGTTGGGTGATTGGATCCAATGAAGAAATATATGTAGCAGGTATACTAGAATTATAATCTTGGTTGGTTTCAGGAATTGATTCAAGGCCAGTAATTAATTCTGCTGTTGGATACTTTATAGAGACATAATTCTATAATCAAATAATATTAAATTTTTTTAATATAATGCATTATTGTTGTTGTTGTTATCATATTGATTATTTTATTATAAATACCGTTTGTAGATGTGTCCATGTATAAGTTTGAGCATCAGATTTCCATTTGCATTTCCATCCTGTGGGTGTAATTTGTTCTATTTATATATTTATTATAACAATGTAGATATTATTTATAAAAATATATAATGATTTAATTTCCATATATAATTATTCATAAAATAATCACACCTTCAGTTCCTTCTAATAATCTCTCAAGACCTTCTAATATTACTTTTTCAAAATATAGTGAATTCAAAGCTCCAACTTGCCAATCATACATTCTAGTAGAAAATTCAATCTGATGTCTTAAAAGATTTAGATGTGTTGCCATTGGTGCCAAATTTGAAAGCCTGCTGTATACGTCATGAGAACGGATGTGTAATGGAGAGTCAGATGGAGGAATTGATAAAGACAAATTTTTCTGATTTAAATCCCTATTGTCAGTAATGATGTTATTGTCGTTGACATTACCATCACCACCATCACCATCATCAACAATCACCGTCGTGCTTGATTTATCGACATCTTTTGTGGAAGTTTCAGGAAAACTTTCCAATTCCCAACGAGATTCGCCTGTATTGGTATTGTAATAATAGTATCGTTCACTTTCTACATCCCAACACTGTTGCCATTCGCCTGATGTTTTAATAGTGGATGTGACTATGCTAGCAACTGATTGCGAATTAGCAGTTTCATTTTCTTTAGTTTCTAAAACTTTTTTAGAAATATTTCCGACTTCATCATCTGCTGCTGCTATTGATGACGCAGGAGAATTGGTAGAAGTTGGCAGTGCATTTATTTCAGACATGAACATTTTCAAAGCTGCTTCTATACTATCTTCGGGATAATCTATAGATTCGTTTGTTTCTCCGGTAAAATCAGTATTTCCAACTGTCGGAGGAATAGTTTGTTTGGCTGGTATTGGAGGTGGAGGCAATGGTGGTAATGGTGGAAGTGGAGGTGAGGGCGAATGTTGATCTTGATGTTTTTGATTTTCGTCCGTATTTGATGCGTCCAATTGATCCTGTTCTTTTTGATGTTGTTCTTTTCAAAAATTTGAAACAGTCATTTCTTTGCCAAATATAATAAAAATCACATAAAAAGTTCCTCACTTATTTTTATTACATATTTTAAAAAACTTCACTTTGTTTTTTTTTTGTTTGATTGATTACTCGAAGAGTATGAAAAATCCACAATGATGATTCTTTTAAATTTGTTTGATTAAAAAAAGATATCACTCCACCTACCAATCTGCACAGTATCCTCCTCCTCATCTTCACTCTCACTATATGCACCAAGTAAATCATGTAAAGTATTTTTGGATTCTTGTTTCTTTTTTGCTTCGTCTACAGCTATTCAACAAGAAAATATTGTTGAGTTATTTTTTAAAATGGGAGATGAGCGATTAATTAATTATTATAAACTTCAACCTTTGTTTTTTGCTCTGATTGAAGAAATTGGCTGGTCCAATTGTATTAAAGTTCTTCGTCTTGACATTTCTCGACGGTCCATTTTTTTAATTATTTATTTTGTAACGAAAAGAAGCTAATTTTTAAAAAATGTGCAACACAAAATTTTATATAGCATAATGAGCATTGATTTCATTGGCTAAAATCTTATTTTCATTTATCTTTGCTGTGTAGATCACTAAACCCTTGATATTAAATAAAGTCTAATATTAATTAGTATTAGATAAGAATTCGAGTAGGCTGAGACCAATAAACCCATTGTCATTAATATTAACTAAATATAGTTAAATTATTATACCAATCCAACACTAGTTATTATTATTAAAAAAAAAAACTGACACAACTTATCCTTCTCGAAACCCTTGCTGCAGATTTCGTTGTCGCAACATTTCATTGAAAATCAAACTTAACTAATTTGGAATATAAATCTTTCAAAAATAGTCTCTACCTTCCAATAATGGGCTTGTGGGATCAATCAAGGTTTTATGATACGTGGAGAATTATGATAAAATCATTATGTCAAGTTGTAGTTATATATGTGAATTAGAGAGTTAGAAAGTTAAACTTCAATTATTCCAGTTTTGACCTTGTTAAAAACTAGTTTTGATAATCTATTAATTTGCATAGTATTTTTTGTTTCATGGGATTTTTTGCAAAAACAAAGTTTCTTTAATGAAACTTATGGATGATAATTGATTTGTGATGTATATAATATAATATTTTGTTATAAAGAAACAAAATAAATTTACGATAATTACTTTTATGTTGTAAAAACGCTTATATAAAGAAATAAAAAAATAAATCTATTAATTAGATGACGTTTTAAATAAAAGTTATTTTGCAAAAATACTAAATTTCACGCGCGTGAATTTTTCACGAATTAATTAAAAATCATTTCTGAATTGCATCGATTAAACTTTGTTAAAACTTTTTTAAACGAAACAAACATGCCGGATAACGGAGGGAAAAGATATTACCATGAAGCGGTGGCAAGCATGGTGAGCATTGCTTCCGCTAATACTGGTCGTGGTTCACTTTTAGTTGCGAATAGTAGATTCCAACTGTTTTCCAAAATAAGAGATGGAAATGTAAAAGTAACAGATGTGGTTGATCTTTGGAGATACCTGATTGAAGGTTAAAACTTGAAGGTAAATAATAACTGTTAGGTCAAATTAGATTAATGCAAGTTTGTCTTATTATTGCTCTTTTTTTCTTAAAGAACATTGTAAAAATTATTTTGTCGAGCTTATAATAAAACTCGAGTCTTATTCCAACCAAGTCCTGGCGTCTTGGGCTTTCTTGAAGATTAGCATCATCGCATATTCCTGCTATGCAACCAATATATAACCCGCAGCTTTTGGGAAACCGAGTAATCTGGCGAACCTCTGAAAGATGTGGAAACGTACTCTTGGCAATAAACATGTTAATTTCCAAGAATTCACTCAACTTTCCTTGGAGAAAATTCCAAATCGAAGCAAGGGTATCTAACGTGCTTCAAAATAATGCCTACTTTTTTATTACCACAATTTTTCTGATAAACTTGAGTTTTTTTTAAATATAAAAAAATGTCTTTTTAAGAATTAATGTCGTGAAGATATTTATTGTTACTCGAGCATCCCTATTACTATATGGTGGAATTTCTTTCCGGTAAACCAATTTAAGGAAATTACCCGTATATGATTATATTTACACTTAAAGTATTGTTCAACTCCAGATAGGTTAAAACTATTTGGGACTTTGATACGTACTGTATTTTAAAGGCTTAAGGCCCTAAACTCATCCCATAGAAAACTAGTACAATTTAGTAATTTTTGCAGATACTTCCAAACTTGTACTAGTTTTTGCATATTTCTAGCAGGAAACAGGATCGAGACTCGTTCGACCTTTTAAGTTTGGGCTGCATATACATAAATACGATGGTTCACAAAGATAACTGGATTGAGGATATTCCACTAAAAGTAAGTAGAACAGCAAAATACCAAAGGAAGAAATATATTTCGTAAACAAAATATAAAAATTATTGATTTGTTGAAAGTTATGGAGAGAAATCTGTGGAAGACACAAAAGACCAGAGGTGAGTTACAGCATTACAATATGATTCTGGAGATTATTCTGATGGGCAAAACAACAATAAGAGTTGATTCATGATTTCTTTCGTCGTTCGGCTTTTTTATCTGAAGAAATAGAATTCTCACACCTATAACACTAATTTATTGATTCCCGGGGCTTGATTATCATTTTTGAATCAACAAAAAAATTAGTAAATATATATGTAATAAACGCGCTTCTATTTATAAGGTTTAATTTATTATAGAATTGCTATTTTTATTATTATTATCGTAAAAAACATATATTTGACTGATTTAAAAAAAAAAGATTCATGCAAAATATCAATATTAGAATTATTTTCTCAATATTTTGATAATGAAATTTATAATTTTATTAAAAAGCGAATCCTTGTCTTTATTTATCAAAAAGGAAAAGAGATCCCCGTTAGAATATTACTATATATAAACATTTTTATAAATTATAACAGTCAAATAATTTTTAAACCTACCATTTTTCTTTGTTTTGGATTTCAAATTATTGACAAATGCATGCATATCATCTGCGACTATTCCCGTGGCATCAACAATTGTGCATATTGTTAGCAATATTTTTTCTTTCCACGAGATATTTCTCCATTCTTGTAATAATTTGTTTACCAAACTAAGTAATGAACAATACAATAATAAAATATATAAACAATAAACAATACAAATTACAATTATGTGAAGTAAATGCATGTAATATAAAAAGGTACCTTTTATTAAATAACAGGTATACTATTTTTCTCATAGCTCTAATTTCATAAAGATAATTGAAATCAAATGATTGTCGAAAGCTACTTATGGTAGTTTGGGGACCTAAATCATGGTATTGTGTTAATTTCCATCCAGGAGAGATGAAATTATCTTCAAGTAGTTGTGTTTGTAGATCACCATTGTGTTGAACATTAATTTGCACAATTAAATCTGAATCGGTTTGTGCAAAAAATGCCCTTCCTTCTCTATTAACACCAATTGCTAGCTTGATGTAATTCGACATTTCAATTATCATCATTTCTTCTTCATAACCATAACCATAACCATAATCATCATTATTATTATTATTTGTATTTCTCATTTGCATTTTGATTGATTGTTGGAAAAAAATTTCAATTTAAAAAATTATTATTTTTGACAGAATAAACCATATTATATTTATATTTAATTTTATAATAATTAATTTTATGATTCAAATTATTTAAAATTGATTCATAAAAAAATCAAATCAAAAAGAAATAAATGTTAATTTGATCAAAAAAAAAAAATTTTTTCCTGGATCATATAAATTGTTTTTTTGCATTAAAATTAAAATCACATTGTATTCCATGTGATATCAATTTATTTATTTTTTTTAATTTATTTTAATCAAGTCCAGATTATTAAATGATGATAAATAATAGTTTATCATTATCCATATCTGAGAAGAAATATCTTGCGCGAAAAATAAAAAATTAATCCCTTTCACTCTCGATCTTTTAAAGGAGACCCGTGTAACTGCGAAGACGTGTACGTTACACGATATATGAAAATAATAGTTATTTATTTACAAATTTAGCATAATAATTCTGTAAAAGGTTACATATAAAAAAAAAATAAATATTCCCTCACATATATATAATTAAAAAAAATGTCAGTAGAAGAAACGGTTAATCCAACAGCTTTATTAACAGAATCAAAACCGTATCATTGTTTTAGCTGGAAAGTTTCGGCATTTCAACAATATTTAAATAATTGTAAATTTGGTGATAAATTTTATAGTTCAAGATTTTGGGTACCAAAATTACCTCTTCACAACAATTCTACCAGCATTTCTAACAACAACAATAACAACAACACTAGCAATATGATGAACAGCATCCAAACCCAATATCATTTAGTATTAGGTAGTGATAATATCAATAATGACGAACAACAACTGCTGCTACAACAGCAACAGCAACCAACATTATGGAGGTTAATATTATTCCCAGAAGGCAATAAATTAAGGGATGCTAACGAGTATATTTCATTATATTTAGAAGCTATACAAACACCCTACGAAAATCAAAATCTCATAGATACAAGATATGCCAGATTCAAATTATCAATTGAAATGATGGAAATATCTGATGATTTCACAAAAACAAAGTTGATAAAATTAAAAACTGATACAGAGATATTAGAACATAAATTTATTTTTAACAGCGATGATGACTTTGGATATTCGAAATTCTACTCAATCAAGAATTTCAAGAGTGGCAATAACAATAATAATAACAATTATGAGAAAAATTATGACTTGATATTTAAAGTGGAATTTTTCAATGATGATGATAGTGAGAGCAAGAGATCCAACTCACGATCATATTTCCTAAGTAGTACAAATGAAAAATTTTTTGAAGATGATTCATTTACCGATATAAGATTTTTGCTGGATTGTGGATCGATAATCAAAGCTCACCGGGTGATACTAGCAGGTGGGTCAGCGTATTTTAATAAAATGTTGAAAGGGGAATGGAAAGAATCGAATTCTGAAACAATAAAAATTCATAGCTTTAAATATGAAACATTTCGAGCTATTTTGTTTTACATTTATTCAGGAAAGTTGGTTGATACGCAAGATCTTGAATTGTTGAAGGATGTTTATGTTAAAGCTGAAATGATGGGTTTGGATGGATTGTTGAAGTTGTTGGTAAACAAGTTTAGTGAGATTATAGATGAGGATAATTGGGATGATATCCTGATATTAGGGCAAAGAACTAGTAATAAACCATTAAAAAATATCGTAATGACTTTTCTAGTATTAAATTTTCAAAAAGTTGCCATATAAAAGAAAGAAAAGAGGAGAACAAGCGAGGATGGGGATTGAAAAAGTGAAGGGGGGAATGGGAAAAGAAAATCTCGTATAGAAATGGAATTGATTAATTAAATTATTAAAATAATAAATATAAATAAAAAACTAATAATACAATAAAATTTAAAAAAATTTTTTTTACCCTCCTTCCTTTCATATTTGATGGATGTCTCAAAAATAGAGATCTTCAAAGGTCATAAGATGACGATCATAATAAAGTCTGATCTTACGCAAAAAAATAATTTTTCTCTCCAATTTCAATTCAAAAGATCACTTTGATTAATTAACTAATTAATTCATTGTACATATGCCATGCATGCGTCATTATTACATTACACGAAGCATGCTGGATCAAAATCAGACAAAATTAACAATAATACTTTAATAAGAGGCAAGTTTATAAAATTACAAACTGTTAAACCCTTGCAACTCTGGCTAGAGAGCAAGAAATCAATTAACCCCTGAGAAGCAGTTACCGTTTTTGGTAAGTCCATAATAATGAATTAGAAATAATTCTATTTACGCGTTTTTCAAAAAAAAAAAAAAAAAAAAAAAAAATTTATTAAAAAAAAAAAATGTCTTTTTCACCTCAAGCAAAAAGAACTTTGGATCAAACACCAGTACAACAACAACAACAACAACAATTACTTTCCACACCTACACCTCAACCAGAAAATATCATCAATAATGTATTTTCTAGTAGTAATTTTTCAATGGATGAAAATAAATTATTAAAAACTTTTATTTGGTTCATCAAAGATTTTCAACATTTTTATAAAAACCCAACTCATTGTCAAACTGTTTGGAGCGGTGCTTTCTATTCACCATGCTCTTCCTCGTCAACAATTAATAATGAAATGAATACTGCCACCAATATTATGACGGTTTCTGGTGATAATACAACTGCTAATACTACCACCATCATTAACCATTCTACTAATAATGATATAATCAGCAATGGTTGTGCTTGGAGATTATGTATGTTCCCAAAAGGTTACAAAACTGAACAATTTTTGTCATTATTCCTTTACGCGTTTCCAACTGATTATGAAAAAATGCATGGAATTCACTGTAGAGCAGTTAGATATGTTCTCGAATTGTTTAAGGTTGGAATTAATCCCAACACATCCAAAGTAGAATTGAGGCCTGTAAATGTTGGTCAAACGGTCTTTAAGAAAAGCTTCAATCTAGATCATAAGGGTGATAGTGGAGGAAAAGTTAAATTTAGTGATCTGACAAACCTATTCCCCAGCAATGACACGTCAATTAAACTCGATATTATTATCAGGTTAAAATTATATACTGAAGATGACTTGCAAGCAAATTATAATATTAATAATGTTGATATCATTAAGTTTCAACCTTCTTTGGAAAATTATTTCAACAACAATAATTTTAGTGATGTGACTTTTAGTTTCAACGATGAATCAGAAATTAAAGCATCTAGATTGGCTTTATCTATCCGTTCCAGTTATTTTGATAGAATGTTCAATGGTGAATGGGCCGAATCAAAGGCAACAATCATTCCCATCAAGAACGTTACCTATCAATGTTTTAAATATCTGATTTACTTTCTTTACTCTGGCAAATTAAATGATGATATACCATTCGATGTATTGAAAGATTTGTTTATTGAAGCAGATATTAGAGAAATTCCGGAACTGGGTGAATTGGTTGCTTCAAAAATCATTGATCAGGTTAGTGATGATAATTGGAGTGAGATATTATTTATTGGTTGGAAGACAAAAAATTATTCTTTGAAAAATGCTGCGCTCAGTTATATTCGTGTTAATTGGGAAAAAATTAAGCGAGGTAGAAAGATCAATGAAGTGATAGCACATGGTGATATGGAGTTAATCGATGAATTAATGTATACCATTTGTTTTGGTGTAATCCTTGCGTTTTAATATTAGTAATATTGGGTAGGAGATGTGATTTTATCATTTGAAAAGCATATCGAGTATTTTTTTTTTGTGCAAAAAAAATTATAACAAATTTATTTTAGTTTTTTCTAATAAAATATAAAGTTTAATACATATTAATATTATATACGCCCGTGCATCATGTGTTCTATAAAAAATAGTTAGATCGCACAAACTTAAAAAGGAATCACCAATCAATCGTAACTATGATAACGTAAAAGTTTTATTTTATAAATATAGTAAATATAAATAAATAAAATAATATTTAAAATAAAATCATTATTATTATCATTATCATTATGATAAGTTTATTTTTCTAAAAAAAAATTTATTTTGAAAAATGCTTCGACAACATGATTCAACCATTGACAACGCTGAAACAACTGTTCGAGGCATAATAATAAATAATACCATTGTCAAGGATAATAATGATCAAAATGTTGAAACTAATGATAATGAAAAAAACGATGCAAAAACTACCACCACCATCTCAAAGTCAAATGACCATAATACAGAATATGATAGCTTATCGTCGTCGTCATCATCAATTATCGATGAAGATATCGATTTTGATTTAGTTTATTCAATGCATACATTTGAAGCTACTGTTGAAGGTCAAGCAAGTGTAGAAAAAGGTGACTCTTTAACTTTGTTGGATGATTCTAATATTTATTGGTGGTTAGTTAAATTGACAAAAAATGGAAAAACTGGTTATATACCGGCTGAAATTATCGAGGTTTTTATATAATTACCTAGATTTTTTTTATGATTGGTATATATATAATTAATAACAATTATAATAATTAAATAATTGATGGATTAGACACCATATGAAAAACTGGCAAGATTGAATAAAAATAGAAATCTTAATGTAAGCAAATAAATTAAAAGTTCAATTATATACACACACACACACACACATATATATATTATTTCAAAAATTATTAAATAAACAAATAATTTTTTTATTTTAAAAAAGTTAACTCAAAGTAATAGAGTAGATGATATAATATCCAACATAACAAAAAAAAAAAAAAAGAAAGAAACAACGAAAACTGTCACTTTCACTTCGCCATTATTTGTAGTCGCCGATGATGTTGGTGGTGATGTGTATAATGAGTATAATGATGAAGAAGTGATGGAGGGGGATATCAGCGAAAATTATGACATTCAAGAAGGAGGTGAAGGGGTCGAAGTAATTAAATGGTTTGAGGGTGTGAATGAGGGTGAAATAGATCAAGGAGGTGAAGGAGAGAAAGAGATAGATGAGACGAACTATGAACACGAAGATGGTCATGATTGTCAAGATGAATCTAAAATTGCAGTAAAAAGCGAAAATCAAATACCAGTGTCGGTGGATATTGATAATAATATTAATAATAATGTGAATCAAGTAGTAGAAATAGCAAAAGAGGAAGAAAACATGTCAAATAGTCCTCATATTGAGATTACAACACTAAAAGATAAATTTATCTCTGCCTCTAGCACCACAACCATTGGGAATTCTTCAAAAATAGAGACAGAAAATGATGTTAATAAACAAGTAGTCGACCCATCAATTAGCCATCTATTAAGTCCAGAAGTTTCTCAACAAAATAATCAACTTTCTAATAATCTACAATATAATCGCCAAAAAAATGGTGGCAATATAGCACCAAACAAAAATAAATCGAAAAGAAAGCCTGCTGGAATTCCTATCAAACAAACAGTAAATAATAACAATGTATCGCCTGCTAATCCAAATGACTCTGTACCACCTCTTTTGGGTGTCTCTAATGATCAAAACCAGGCAATCAAATTGAACCTCTCACCTACTTTAGGCAATGAATTTATGGACTTTACTGATGATGATGACGTCGAGAAAGTTAACAAAAAGTCAAACAAAAGTGCCCTTAGAGAATCTAATAGATCAACAGTCTTAAAAGTTACAGAGGGGAAAAAAGCTCAAAAAAAAGAAAAAGAAACAACATCAAGAAAAATCAAAAATATGTTTATGTTCAAGAAAATGCCATCAAAGAAAAAGGATGATGACTCTGTCAAATTAGAAACAATAAAAAAAATTTCACCATCTATGCCATCACCAACTCACATGCAAATGCATCAACAACAAAAACATCAACAACAAACAACGAAAATAAAACCACTAGATCCTCAATTGCCTCAACAACGAAAATCTAGTCATCAACGACAACAAAAAAAAAATAAGTCACCAGGTGCTTTATCTACGCAAGTCACTTGTAGACCCTCTCTTGATGTTCCAATGCAAAACCAACAAGATAATCATCTAAATGACAAACTACTACAATCATCATTATCATCTTCACTACCAACGCAAAAATCACAAATTCTTGGGAATTCATCTGCACTACCACCACTGCCATCACCAACACCGCCACTGCCACCACCAACACCACCAACACCAGCCACATTACCACCTTCTCCTAGCTATAGTATTCTTCGTATTTTCCCTGGCCAAAATCTAAAATTGAATTTTGCTTTCAAGACAGTTCCAATCAATCAATCAACAACTGCCGCTGACCTTATTAAACAAGCAATAAGCCGATTTAAAATTGATAAAGGAAAAAATTGGGAAAATTATTATATTACAATAAAACTAGCCAATGGAGGTTTGTATTCTTATAATTTATATGTGTTTTTTCTCTAATTAATTTTCATTATTCAATTTTATTTTTTTTATTTTATTTATTTTATTTAGAGGAATTAAAGTTGATGCCACATGACCATCTTCTTGAGATACATCACACATTAACTTCACTTTCAACTGCTTCATTATCAACCACAAAAAGAAGTTCCACATCATTTTCTAACACGTCAGTTCATCCGACAGTGGAAAATCTTGAAGTTGATGAAAGGTCGATTGATGTCACCTTCTACTTGAATAAAAAATCTGTTGATAGAAATAATAGCAGAATATCATCCGTTTGTGATAAGAAACTACGCTTACGCTTACGCGTTCTAATATATGCTGATGATTTGCCAGCTCATTTACGATTTAAAAGTCCCCCTTCAACACCACCTCCGTCACAAATACCAAGAAAATCCAAGTCAGTGCCAAAACATCTTATTGAAAAAACTGGCAGAAGACGCTCACATGAAAATGGAAAACCAAGGGAAAAACATTTAATTGTTGATGGTTTGGCAACTGTATATGATGTTATATCGAAATCTATGAGAAAGTTTGGCATTATTGATGGTGTTGTTGATGATGGTGAATATATAGGACGCAATGATATTGATGAAGTACCACGTTATAAACTAATGCTTAGTTCAGAAGGAAATGGTATGCTTTGGAATAATATTTTAATATTTTAATACTCGGCTATAATTATATATAATTATAGATTATAAATTATTAATTCGGATATTTTAAATTTTCTAAACAGAAAAACTATTGCATCCTAAAACAGAAATCCTGTCTGTTTATCCAACACCTCCGAATCTTATACGTTTATCAGTTGATTCATTAGATTCCAATTCTTCACTTGTACAAAATTATCTTCCGGATGAACCTACATTTGTTCTACGTCTATCAAAACCTGAAAATTGTAGAAATCTTGTGATTCCAGATATTATGCAACAATCTTCATCATCAGAAAAACAATTGAAAACAATAAATTATGAACAACAACTGCAACAGCAGCAAGTAGAAGAAGAACAAAAACAACAGCAACAGCAACAGCAACAACAGCAGCAAGAAGAAGAACAGCAACAGCAACAGCAGCAAGAAGAACAAGAACAACAACGACAACAAGAAGAAGAAGAAGAAGAAGAACAACAGCAGCAACAACAACAGCAGCAGCAGCAACAACAGCAACAAGAAGAACAACAACAAATATTGAACAACAACAAATCTTTGGATGAAAATGATGTTAATAATGAACTATTAAGGAGAAAAGAACTTATTGAAAAGCAACGTGAATACAGCAGATCCAAGCAAAAATCCATTATATCATCACATAAAAATTCTGAAAAAGGTGTTGATATTGTTACAAGTGATGGTGCAATTAGAAGTTCAAGGATTTTTGATGAGTCAAAAGTGCGTTATTCATTTATTTTAACTGACGGAGAAGAAATGGATATCAGTGATATTATTGAAGATGTTATGGGTGATGATGATATGCTTATGATAAAGCAGGATAGAGACGAAAACTCAAAAGAACAACAACATCATGATTCTAATTCATCATCATCATTATTCTCTAATGATAATAAACCATCATTATTGTTACCGCCAGGTTTTGGCAAAAAGAATCTTAATAGAAGGAGTACTACTCAAGATGTAGATGTTTTGGTAAAGATTGCAGATGGTGCCCAAAATAATGATAATAATAACATATCATGTCAGTCATTAAATAAGATTGACCTTGTGATTGAAAAAGTAAAACGTAATCCATCATACAGGTCGAGCAATTCTAAATTAAATTTAAATTCTAATACAAATCCCAATTCAAACACAAATTCAAACACAAATTCAAACACAAATTCGACAACAGCGACAATAAATCAAACCATAGAGTCAGAAAATAAGGATATAATTGTTGATTTGGTGCATAAAGCTAAAACACCATCAAAAATAAGTAGATCATCTTCAATTTCATCGGCTAGTTCAATAAATTCATTGACCAATAAACATAAGCATAAGCATAAGCATAAGCATAAACATAAGCATCATAAAATGTCAACATCAACAACATCAACAACATCAACAACAACAACTTCATCAACAACATCAACAACATCGACAACAGCAGCAAAAGCAACAGCAACAACAACAACAACAATGACAACAGCAACAGTAGCAACAGCGACAACAACATCAGCAGCATCAGCATTATTAGCATTAGCATCAGCATCACCACCGTTTTCAGATGATTTTGGTTTGGAAGAATTGTTGATGCTTGCTAGAGGTGTTAACAAGTTGGAATTAAAAGGACGTAGAAAAAGTGATTGGTATTTTAATGAAGACCCCCATAAAGTATTGGATCAACTTAAATCAATTGAAATAAAAGATAAAATTAAAGATATTTTCGCTGATATTACTCAAGAACTTGATAAAATGGATCAGGTTGGTTACTAATTTTTATTTTATTTGTACTATTTCTACGTATTATAATTTAGCTCACTCACATATTTTATTTTAGGATCTTGATAAATTACTAGCTGATACAATAAGAATTTTTTGAAACCATTTTTTAACTATTATTAATTTTGTAAATTATATAGATTTATTTATTTATTATATATTATTTATTTGAGATTAATTAACATCCAACTGCGTTGAATGTTGAATAAACCATTTTTTACAATAATGATTATAAAAATTATATATTCTGAAGAATATATTGACTCTATTCCCCTTTACTCTTAGGGAAAGCATTAAAAGAAACTAGTTTCTCAATTATGCTCACCGATCTATTCCTCTGATCAAAAGCACGGAAATAACCATAAACTCGTGGTTAAAACTCAAATTGCTAACGAACTCAGTTTTAAATTTCTCAAAATTATTTGAAGAAAATAACGATAACTTCGGAATTTATTATCATACGGCAGGAGGGTTGCGATTACGATTGATATTTAATATTAAAAGTTCTGAGCCGGGATCTTTCCAAGAAGATGCAGGTGGTGCCAGTATTTAGTCAATAATCTACTGTGTATGGTTTATATATATTAAATATCGTGTACTTTTTTTGGACGCTATTCATTAGTTACATGATATAAAATATCAAATGCGAAAGCATCTTCACTCTGTGAGACTAATTTGTATTATTTATCTACAATTATATGGTTCCACCATTATACTTATCCAGAAATTCGAGAGCATTATTCCAAGGGATAGGTAATGTGAAGCATTGAGTTTTTAACTTCTGAATTGGTTTTGAATTTTCAGGATAAGCTTCTAATACCTCAATAAAAGGGATCCCTGGGTCTTTGATTTTATCGTAATGCAAATAATAATATTTATTGCCTCGATCATCTAGTAATGATGTACAACGAAACTTTTGACTTTATTCATTGACGTAACTAAAGTATTGACTAAAGGTAGTTTCTCACCAGGGCCATTTTGACGATTTGACTAAAGTAAAAGTCCTTGACGTAAGTAAAGCATTTGTCGCAATTAAAAACATTTGACATATGTAAAAACGCTTGATACAAGTAAAAACACTTGATACAAGCAACGATAATAATAACGATAAAATGGAATTATCAAAAGTTCCAAATTATGTAAAAATGTGTCCCGGGGATGAATAAAGAAAGGATTATTATATCATTGTATGTATATTGCAATGATCCAAGAATAATTATAATGGGAATTTTGCAAATGTTGTAATTTGAATTAGAAGTTTGTTTTTTTCCGTATATTTTCTTTTAAAATAAAAATGCTTCTAAATTTATGAGTTGTGTTAAATTGATGTTTTTCGAATTTTTGACTTTTGAAGTTAACTATGCGTAATATTAATACGTAATAATATTAATAATGTGCTTGAGCTGTCTTTAGTGCGAGTTTGAAGCAACATAAGTTGACCAATACTGGTACTTAGAACGATCTTTAACAGCACATAAGACAGGTTTTGGTGCATGTTTTAATTTTGTTTTCTGTTTTTTTATCTTCAAAGAATGCTGAAATTCTTTTATTGTTGAATCACGATAGATCGGTCACTAGAGTTTAGTGATGATGAGGTTATTCTTTAAACAATGCAATTTTCACTTTTCAATTTATGTCCTTATTATTATCAATTAATTCTGTTAGAAAAAACCTAGAGGCAATCAAATAAACTAAAAAATGTTGTACGAAAAATTTGTTTGTTACCTTCGCAAAGAAAAACAAAGCTTTTAAACGAAAACGTAACAGTGAGTTTCGTGAAATAAAGATTAGTATCATATCGCAATGATGTTTTTTTGACGTCATAAAATTACATGGCTCTATCACCTACATATATATTCGTTCAGAGCAGCAAAATTAGCACTGAATGCAAAGTATCTTCTACAATGTATTCATGATCAATGATACAATCTTTAATAAAAATAGACCATTTTATGGCATTGATCGATTAGTCTAATAAATTACAACAAAAATATATAAATAGACCTTCTATCCCCATTCGTGGACCAAAAAAAACGATGTATTGGTTTTGCTTGTTACGTTGCATTCGAATTCGAGGGTCGAGGAACGTAGTGTCGAAATGGCCTTCTATGTATGATTTAGCGTTACACGCTACATTCAATGCGTGGTACCTATATATTCGTTCAGAGCATCAACATTAACCAGTCATATTAATATTTTTATTTTATTCATTGCGTTGAGCAAAAAATTTATTCATTCATTTAATATAATTACACATACAAAGGGAAATTGTTCACGAATTTAATAAATTTAATAAAAGATCCTTTGCAAAGAAGAGCCCTCACGTAAATCAAAAGTTATTTCCGAATTTCGATCAATAAAAAAAATCAAGCTTTTTTTTCTTTACAAAGATTAATCAATGATTTATTTGTTTTTCTCCGAAAGGAAATTAAAAATAAAACTTTTCCTATCCAGATCATTCACTATTTCTCAAACGGTCAAAATCAAAAAAAAATTTTGTGCATATTGGTTTGTTTAACATCAACAAAATAAAATGTAAAAAAACAAACACGATTTCCCTTTCGGTCAAATATCTGCTTGACCCTGCCGTTTTGATAAATTTTTCGATTGCCAAATAGATATCATTGGGAATGGCAATAGTAAATAGCAATGTAAAAATAATCGAACCATTTATCATTTTCGGAAAACGAAAATATTTTCAAATTTTAACAAATTAATTTCAAGCCACAGCAGCAAAAAAAAAGGAAAAAAACGACTCATTAAAAGTTTTACCCTTTGATTTTGATCTCATCCTTCCCCAACAATTCAGTTTACTAAGTTGAGCAACAAAATGTTTAGAAGATTCATGATTCGTTACCATAACTGCACTGGATTTACCGTTTCGAGTCTTAACGGATCTTCTTTACAACAGAATATTTCCTGTGTATTCAATATTGCACAAAAATCTACACGAAAATTACGACATTTAGAAAGGACCGTAACACGTCAATCTTTTTTTTATTCTCAAAAAAAAAATATCCATTCTATTCATCAAAATACCAAGTCGAATTTTATACAATGTCACATTTTAAACTATTATTATCATCATCACCAGAAAGAAAGGACTTTGTATAGTGAAATGTATAGCAATGCAGTAGTTAATTCTGATGAAGAAAGTATGAAAGATTATTTTTTTTCATTGGTCAAAAAAAACAAGGAGCTTTCTAAAAATGAAAAAGAATATTGTAAGGAAAGTTTATTTATGAATTTGAATTAAAAAATGCAAGAGACAAATTGGGCAAACCAAAAGAATGTAACAAATGTAAATTGACAAGATACTCTGATAGATTCTGTGAAGGCTGTATTAGTTTACAATTACAGTCTTTTCACCATTTGGACATCTGGAAATAACATAATTGATGATTTTATTCAACAATGTCAAATAAAATCATCTCTACCAACTCATATTTTAGAATGGATACCTTTTGAGCAATTTATAAAAGTAACAAAATTGACAGAAGGTGGATTTGGTTCAATTTATACTGCTACATGGACAAGAGGAACTATTGTTGATTATTATGAAAATAAAAAGGAATTTAGTTATTTAGGAGTCAAGATGTAGTATTAAAAAGTTTAAATGATTCAAGTAATCCAGGAAAGGCCTTTTTTGACGAGGTTGGTAGTTGTCATTTAAAACAATACTATAATATATAATACTGTTGTGCATGAAAATGAAATCTATGTGAATTTGCAGTCACATATGTGAAATTCAAATTAGCAATCAGAATTTCATACCCAAACACCCAACCCAAAATTTTAATTATAAATTTCGATTTCACATAGTTTCAATTTCACATACAACAATACTAATTGGTTTTATATTTTATTTCCAGGCAATGAATTATTGTAAAATTGAATCAGTGTTGATTGTTCAGTGCTTTGGTATAACTAAATTCCCAGATAATGGAAACTATGCAATAATTTTAAATTATGCAGAAGGAAATTTAAGGGATTCTTACAAAAAAATCATTTAAATTTAACATTAAAAGACAGAATTACAATCTTTAGATCTTTATGTGAAGCGTTATATGTTATACATGAAAAAGATTTAATCCATTGTGATTTACATAGTGGTAATTTATTATTGCAAGGAGGTAATTGTTATATTACAGATTTGGGGTTATGTGGACCAGTTGATGAAAAGTCATCAAATAAAGCATATGGAATTGTATCATATGTTGCACCTGAGCTACTTAGAGGCAATAACTCAAAAAACATAAAAGAAATTGATATTTATAGTGTTGGGATGTTAATGTGGGAAATATTTGCAGGTCACCCACCATTTGATGATAGAGCTCACAATCATTGTTTGATTTTTGATATATGTGCAAAAGGTTTACGACCACCATATTACCTGGAATGCCTGAAGATTATGTGCAAATGATGCAGAGGTGTTGGGATGTGGATCCATCAAAAAGACCAACTAGTAGAGAGCTGATTGTTTTTGCTGATAATCTAGAAGAAACTATTAAAAATAATAATGATGATTATAATGGTAATCATACCACTAGTAGTGGTAGTGGTGCTTCGCAACAAGAACACAAATCACATCCAGATGCATATCATAAAAGTAGAATATTAGACGAAGAGATTGCTAAATCAAAAAGCTTGAAAATTTATACAAGTAATGACAGTTCGTTAAATAATATTGATTTTAGTTCTTTTCTCTAGAATGTTAACAAAGGTAAATAAAAACTTCATTATTAATATTATTAATCGATTGGAAATTACTATCCATTAACAATATTAATTAATTAATTAATAAACATTAAATTCTGGTAACTATATTGATGACCAATTTAATCTCCACTATAATTTTATTATTATTTTTTATTTTTATATTTCATCCTTATTTTCTTTTCTCAAAGCTAAATTATAATGATGTTTTGAAATAATAAACTTTTTACAATTTTTGTTTCTTGTTAAATGGTGATGTTTTGAGGTAATATTTTGGTTAATTAACAATTATTGTTTAACTTTTGGGCTGCTCTTGTCAGTTAATTCGATGCATGTCAATTAATTAGTTTCGACTTTACTTTGGCTCTCCCTTTCTTGCGCTTGGACGAATCTGTGAGCCCAAATCTTTGTTGCTAAATAAAGCAAATTACGTTACTAATTGTTGTTAACACTTACTAGTTAACCAACGTTTTAGTCCTAATCATGCTTGCTTGCTCACTAAAGTAAATAGACGTAGATTTTTACCAAAGCTCCACAATTGTTACCTTTTACCAAGGCACTAACTACACTTGTTACTTTATCAAGGCGCCTTAAACAAAGAAAGTAAAGGCAATGTTTTTATTATTAAAAGTTTATTAACGATTAATTTTACTTGATTAATTATTAATTATTTTCCTCTGCGAGGACCCAAAGTTATGCCTTTTCAAGCGAAGACCAGAAGTTATCCTTAATGAAATATCACTACAATAAGAATAAAGGTAAAGATGGGTTTATTATTGTAAAATAACTTAAGCAATCAATATTGATTTTATAATAACTCCATAGCTTTTGCGTAAAATTTTCATTCAATAATAATACTAAAATTAGTTGACCCTGGAACATAAAGCCTAATCGGTGAGTTTATCTACCCGATCATGTATTATGCTATTAATATTAATTAATATAAGGAATGTTCGAGTTTAGTAGTAAATGAAATGAATGAATTTGTATCCAGCAAAAGAAAACTTAGCTCCTTGGGAACCATTGACGAAACAAATGAGAGATTGGGATACTCAAGAAAAATATAAAAAAAGACCTTGGAATATATATTTACAAGTTTTTTTTTGTGAATTTTTTTTTATATTTTATCAGCCTTTAAAGGCGATTTACTTAAGTCATTTTTGACTTAATCGCAGCAAATTTGAGGTAATGGTTTTACAACTTTGGTAACATTTCATTGTCATCTACTTACTGCCCAAATTTGTATGATTTTCTCTACATAGTGGACAATGTAAACCGAGAACCCAATGGGAATCAATCTGATGCCCACCTTCTTTATCTATGCCAAAATGTAGGTCTAAGTTTGGAGAGTCAGCGAAATGCATGGTTAATTTGTTAATGGAATTAGAGACTTGAGAAATCTACCTTGGCTGGAGTACTCCACCTTAAATCATTAGAAGTTTCAGTCACATGCACATTCTGTTTCGGAATGCTGGTCACTTTTTTGCATTGTCTGTGTTGGTGGGCTTTTTAGGGAAACAATTTATAATATTTTGAATCTGAAATATCTGTTAAGTTTGAAATAGAATTCGTACTATAAGTTACTTGTCTAATTATATTTATTCCTATTCCTTCAAACAATGCATAGACTTTTTTAGCTTTGAAAGTTTGTTTACATCAATGATTCCAGGAAGAAGTGCTCTGATTTCGTTATATACCAATGTTCTTGCTGATTGGTCATCAATGTTATCCGTTACTTGATTTTCATATGCTTTAGTGTAACAAATTTTCTTTTTCATTGCTGTATTAAACAAGTCTACTATAATCTGAGCCATAGATCCTGTTAATATTTTCTAGAGGAAGTTCAGGAATTTGCACTTATATGTTACATAATGATATTTCTCTCAGCACTAACAGATAATTCATGCATTAGGCCTTGTTCTACTTTTTGATTATAAGTAATTTTCTGATCAATGGACATTTGCCTCGATTCACCAGAAGTTTTGGCATAGTACAGTTACATGGATCGGAGACTCGAGAAGCAGGAGCTCCATTACTCCATAATAGCCTATTGTTAAACAATAGCACTTTTGTGTCTGCTTCTTAGTGCTGAAATTTTGATTGGATAGTTTTTTGGTCATGAGTCATAACGGATGCTGAATCTTGGGAAATTATTTCGTGAGGAATAACACTTCGTGCCTTGGTTGTAGGACTCTCAGAAGAGAAAAATATTTTTTGTACCAATTCTTAATCTTGAAGTTTCTTTTCCCTCTCATCATATTACTAAACATTTCCTTATTTTTTGAATCCAGAAATTCATCAATCTTCTTATCCTCCATGATTTAGCCTCTGAGTGAATAGGTGATGCATTGTCAGATGTACCGGCTAACTGTTCAGAGATATTATTAGAATTAACTTCAGGACTGCTCTAGATTTACAGAGTCAATGTTATCATCTTCATTAAAATAGTCATTAATTGGTGATGGATAGGTGTTTGTGAATGGTCTTTAGTGGTTCGATTTACTTTATGATTTGTTTTAGTATTGTATTTCGATTCTAAGATTAGCTATTTCTTCTATAATTTGTTTTGATTTGATATCTTCAGCCTCAAGTTTGGTAACTCACTGTCTCAATAATTCAAGCTCTGATGACATATTCGATAATATTTTTTATATAAGGGTTTTATTCAAAAAATAACCTGCGTGTTTCAAAATGGAATGCTGACTTTTCCAAGAAAAAAAATTTTTGTATTGATATTGATAATAACATATGACACTATATATCCCACAAATCTATAACAAAAACAATAAACGGAAACCTCAAGGCATGTCCACCACTAATTCTTATCAATATTTGCACCATCAAAACTGGAATAAGTATATGCATATCATGGATAATAGAGATATAATCATAATCGATAGAAATATAAGACAGTATTTGTTTATGGAGAGGTATGTGGATAACTTGAGGTGAATGTGCAAAATACAGAGTCTATGACTCAATCTCAAACTGGATATCATCAATATATAATAAGGGAATTAATTCAGATGCCTATTTTAATAATGATGTGTATTTTTAGGTCCTATCCACATGTTTTAAATGTATAGTTTTTATTAAATTTACTATTATGATAAAAATGAATAATCTGCCATCTAATGTGAATACACAAAAAAATTATTTTTGAGCTTGATATAGGCAACCTTTGGCATAAAATATGTTTTTGTAATTTGCAATGTTTAGGTTTTGTAGCTATTGACATTGAACGAAGTATCTTTGTAATTTTTATTACCATCATTATGGGACAAATATTTAGCTTTATTTATTGCATTTTCCTATTATCAAATGAGTCTTTATAAGCATCTAATATCACTGAAAGTACAAAAGCACTCAAAGTTTAGTTTCTTTACCTTAAAACTTCCAGTGCGTTTTTTGATACATTAATGTCACTTAGCTGTGCAGGAAATCTATATGCTAGGCCATCCAAACCAAGGTGTAATCTATAATCAAGTAAGTCAATTCCAAAGAGTTGTCCTTCTAAACAATAAAATAACATGAGCCACAATTATTATTATTAACATTTGTTGTTTTAAATGTTATCTAGTTGCTTACCAGCTGATTGTAGTCTAAAAAAAGTGGAATCATTAGCAACTTTTTCAGAAAGGTTATGCATGAAATAGGTATCAAGTATGCACTTATTAGTTCTTAAACATTTAATGTGATCTTTGACTATTTTTACTGGTGTTGCTTTATGTGCAAATTTGGAGTGTGATAATTCAAAGTCATTGTCAGCAGTCAATACTCTTAAATTTATCTTTCAATTTACAGTTGACTTAGAAATTATCTCACCCTACAAAACCTCAAAATAAATTAGACACAATAAGAACTATAAAGCCAAGTAATGAAAAAGTACTTACCATTTAAGATAGACTATGTCATAATTATTTGAAAAAATTATTTTCAATATAAGACCTGAGACTTTCATAATATATTCCAGGGTTGGCAAATTCTTTTTCCTCCTTCCATATTAACAAAAGAATAACAAACATATCAATCCTAATGATGAAGTTTTGAGATTAATTATAGGAAGTGAGGAAATTATAAAAAGGTATGTTATAACATACAGGTGATAATATATTTTTAAAACTTGTTGGTGTTTGTTAATGTGACTTTCTTTTAATTTACCTAATAGATAAAGTATGTGCTTCCCAACAGTGTATAAAATTCGTGTGCACAGTGTGCACAGTGTACAATCCTTAAATTGTGCAAAATGAGATAAATATAGTGCACAAATTCAATGAGAAATTTTGCATTATTACATTTTCAATATATAATGCACAAAAAATCAAAAAAACTAAACTACTTACAACTTTTGCACAAAAATTGATTGGCAAGTTTCTACACTGCTTCCCAATAGTGATATGAGGCACATAACTAAACATTTAAGAATAAATATAGTTAAGCAGTGTTGTGCAATTGGAACATTGTAACACTATTGGAATGTTCCAATGTAGACCTTCAATTGATATTGACCAATAAAAATTGTGTGGGTGTCACTGTAATTGAATTTCATTGGTTAACTCCATTGGAACCACATTTGGAACATTCCAATTCCAATTGGAATTTGTTTAAATGTTCCAATGAAATTTTATTGGAACCATAAATGGCACAACACTGTAGTTAAGTATTACAGGTACAGTGCAAAAACAATCAATACATCTATGAATATGTCACACAAATGGCATTTAATTTTATTACCATATTTGGTAAGAGGAATTCATATTTATCGTTTAATTTAAGTCACTTGGCAATCGGGATTTTTGGTGAAGAATTATTATTATTATTATCATTATTATTTTTATTAAGAAAAGTGGATATCATATTATTATTTTTATTTATATTATTTATAATTAAGTTATCTTTAATTATGATTAATACTTTCCAGGAAGTCTATAAGCTTCCATACAATATAGATTATATATTTATTTATTTCTTTATGATTTATATTTATATTTTAAGAATTGTATTTTTATTATTTAAAGATGTAAATTCAAACAAATAAAGATAACTTTTATATAATTTTACAACAATAAAATGATCAGTTCATTAACAGTGTTAAATAAATATCTAAACATTTGTAAATAATTGTGATAATTATTTGAACATTTACAGAATCTTTTCTATCTTAATCATATCAGATAAGGTTTCACCTTAAAATTTTTTTGTTTTGAAATTTATCTTTTCTGAAGCCTTCACTTTCAAATTTCCCCAATCTTCTCCAAACCACATGCACATTTTTTCATCAAACTCTAATGACAAATCGATTATTGATGAAAGACCAAGTCTGTATGTATATATTCATATCATTAGTTAATATATAAATATTAAAAACAATCTTAACAAACATGATATACCTTATGATGCTCAGAATCTTCCTATCTACTTTCTTTAATGATTTACTTCTTTGATTTTTTTTGATGTCATTTTAGCAAATATCCCTGGCCTTTTCTCCATTGTTTAAAACCCATTCCTTCTCATTACATGTGTTGATGTGCTCATCAATTACTAAAGTTGACAATCTTTTCCCCTTCTTCATCTGAATCTTCAGCTTCTTCAGCTTTGCTTTTTTCTTCTTCAGTAAAGCTATCAGTCATAATTTCATTAAAAAAAACATCTTTAGAAATATCCTGGAATCTTATTAGAGAAACAAATTCTTGTAATGTGTTGCCTAAATCAACAAAATTCTGTGATGACCAATCTTCAATATTGCTAATATTGATTTCTGGATGTTTTGTTAATCCCCATTTAAGGATGTTTACACAGATAACCACCTCATCAACAGAAAAATCATCCCTTTTAAAAAGTTCCAATAGAATTGGTTTTTCCAATGACTTAAATTCACTTGATTGAAATAATTTTTCATTATAATCACACAACTTTTCTAAATAAATATTTTTCAATTCAATAAAATTTTCATTGGTGTAAATCAATTGTAGAATTTTAACTGGATTTTCTTTTATATATTCTTCATGATTTTCAATAAAATATTTTATGATGTATTCATAAAGTGATTCAATACCAAGTTCATCTGTTGCAATTAATAGTTCTAGTACTTCAGCTCCAGAATAATTTTCAAATTCAATTTTACATGTGTATAAAAAATCTTTCAACAATAAATAAATTATTAAATAAATTATCATTATTATATATTCAACGATAACTAATTTTGTTCAAACTTACTTGAGAATAGGCTTGAAAAATTTTTCACTAATACTAGCTTTCTTAATAATATAATATCCATTTTCTTTTGTTGCATCACTTAATGCATTGCTAAAAAATTGGCAATGTGCTGATATGATAGGAGCATGTGCATGAACTTCTTTAATGTTTAGTTCTAAACCAATGTATATTTTCACATCATAAAAATCTTTAGTGTTTAATAATCTTTCATTTTTATTGAAATATTTTTCAAATATTGTTTTATTTTTTAAAATGAGCGGCCAATCAATAATAATAATAAAAAAAATTGCATTTGTGGAACGGAAACTAAAAACGCCCGCCCATATGTGAAATTGAAATTGCAAATTCGCCCAATAAAAACTTCTAAAATATAACGGGAATTGTTGATTTCTGAATGATAAAAAACAATATTTTTATTTTTTTAATTTTGTTAAATAATAGTTTTCAAAACGTTTTCAACGAAATCTTGTTAATGTTTTGTAGTAATACAAAAATGATGAATGTGTGCTAGTGTAACGTAAAATATATGGATATGAATTTAGTAATTCTTTCCTGATTTTTCGTTACCAATTAAAATTTTTTCAAGTTCAAGAAAACCTTAAGTTGTGGCTATTCAAATTATTTTATTTTTCCAAAAGTTTAATTAAATTGTGTAAGTGTAAGTGTTTAACATTATTGATTTTGTAAATATGGAAAGTAATGAATGAATCTAACTAACTAACTTACTAATTAATTAATTAAATAAATGTTATTATTAGAGAATTTATAATTCAAAAGAAGAGATGAATCTACGAACAAATTCACCGTATGAAGCATTTAATGATTTAGCAACTGGTTTATCAAATAATCATAATGACGACAATAATTTATCATCACGAAATCGCCTTTCATCTACTAAAAAAAACATTAATATTAAATGTGCCAATAATTGCAATATTCGTAGTAATATTAATGGTGATGCTGTTAACTCCAATGATGACAATGATGATGGTGGAATTCTTAATGAAATACTTTTGCGGCCATTTGATATACCAAAAAGATTATTTTCATCAACAACTGTACAATTCTTTTCATTAATGTTGATATATTCATTTTGCATAACAGTTCTTTGGATAATATTTTGTGCATCATATTTGCTTACATTCTATGATGATACACGTAGAGTGTTTCGTACTTCACAAGTTTGGGCAAGAGTAAGGAATGGAGTCGGGGAAAAAATGGCAATGTTGGGAGATGGTTGGGGAGATTTCTTTCAAAAATGTTTTGATCAATGGGATGATGTTGATGGAAATAAAAATGGTCATCTTGGACGTGGATTGAATATTAATAAAAATGGTGGTAGTAATGGAAATGGTGCTGATAATGATAATGGTAAAAATGCAGATTGGGAGGGTTGGTTGAAAGGTACAATGTTTAATTTTATGACAATAGTTACAGGTCAAGGTGTTAATGATAAATTTAAACAATCAGCTCCAACTTTTCGATCTCAATTTAACAATACAAAAAATACTACTACTAACAACAATACTACTAGAAATGGTGGTTAATTGTAATAATAATGGACAAATTGTTATTACATTTAAGAAAAATATTTATTTTTAATTCCCACTTTTTTTTTTCATCGATTCATTGATTGTTTATATTTTTTTATAATAAATAGGCCATCCAAACCAAGGTGTAATCTATAATCAAGTAAGTCAATTCCAAAGAGTTGTCCTTCTAAACAATAAAATAACATGAGCCACAATTATTATTATTAACATTTGTTGTTTTAAATGTTATCTAGTTGCTTACCAGCTGATTGTAGTCTAAAAAAAGTGGAATCATTAGCAACTTTTTCAGAAAGGTTATGCATGAAATAGGTATCAAGTATGCACTTATTAGTTCTTAAACATTTAATGTGATCTTTGACTATTTTTACTGGTGTTGCTTTATGTGCAAATTTGGAGTGTGATAATTCAAAGTCATTGTCAGCAGTCAATACTCTTAAATTTATCTTTCAATTTACAGTTGACTTAGAAATTATCTCACCCTACAAAACCTCAAAATAAATTAGACACAATAAGAACTATAAAGCCAAGTAATGAAAAAGTACTTACCATTTAAGATAGACTATGTCATAATTATTTGAAAAAATTATTTTCAATATAAGACCTGAGACTTTCATAATATATTCCAGGGTTGGCAAATTCTTTTTCCTCCTTCCATATTAACAAAAGAATAACAAACATATCAATCCTAATGATGAAGTTTTGAGATTAATTATAGGAAGTGAGGAAATTATAAAAAGGTATGTTATAACATACAGGTGATAATATATTTTTAAAACTTGTTGGTGTTTGTTAATGTGACTTTCTTTTAATTTACCTAATAGATAAAGTATGTGCTTCCCAACAGTGTATAAAATTCGTGTGCACAGTGTGCACAGTGTACAATCCTTAAATTGTGCAAAATGAGATAAATATAGTGCACAAATTCAATGAGAAATTTTGCATTATTACATTTTCAATATATAATGCACAAAAAATCAAAAAAACTAAACTACTTACAACTTTTGCACAAAAATTGATTGGCAAGTTTCTACACTGCTTCCCAATAGTGATATGAGGCACATAACTAAACATTTAAGAATAAATATAGTTAAGCAGTGTTGTGCAATTGGAACATTGTAACACTATTGGAATGTTCCAATGTAGACCTTCAATTGATATTGACCAATAAAAATTGTGTGGGTGTCACTGTAATTGAATTTCATTGGTTAACTCCATTGGAACCACATTTGGAACATTCCAATTCCAATTGGAATTTGTTTAAATGTTCCAATGAAATTTTATTGGAACCATAAATGGCACAACACTGCCTAATGCATATTACTAATAACTTCGATAATAAATAATTAATAAAACAAGCCACAAAAGTCGAAAAAAAGTAATTTATAATAATAAAATATTTTCTTTATCAATATTTTAATATATATCCACTAAAAAATTTTGCTTTATATATGTTACTAAGCAATTTTCTTCAAAATGTCAACTTGAGTTTAAAATAAAAGAACCTTTAAAATTAGCTGTGAATTTTTGTTATGATATCAAAACTTAGAACATACTATCTAAAAAATGTTTGTTACAAAAAAAATGATAATAAATTACATAGTAATAGTGATGGTCATCTATAAAATCCCACACGAGCTTGGTTCACAAAAAAATGTATTCAATACAAAATAAATAAATCTATTTATATAGATATATAATCCATTGTTTCCATACATGTGTGTATATTTGTTATTGTTATTCATTCTAAGTATTATTAAATAATTATGGCTTTGTATTTGTCAGTTTTGTAATAAGTGAATATAATACATTAAATTTAAGCATTTCCGATTCTTTTAATTAATAAGTTTGTGAAGATTTATTGACTTATATAGTAGTACATAAAAACCCAACACATTATGAAAATCATATATATTGCAAAAATATTATTTATCATGTATTTATTATATATTAATATCTACATACAAGCAAAGTAATGATGTTTTATCCATCATTGTGTTTTACACTCTCCAGTATATTTTTTGTACTCATCTTTATACTCACATTCATTATTATTTTTACCTTTTTTTTGTGATTTTATTTGTTGCAATAATTTTTTTTGCTGTGATTGTTTATTTTGTTGTGTGATTGTGTTTGTGGTAATATTTTTTGAACGCCGACCAGTTGTATCCTGGACAACAGACCTCTCAATGTCTTGTTTGAAAATATCATTTGATCTGTTTATACCAATATCATAACTATTGTATAATTTTTGAAACCCTTGATTTGAACATTCTATGGCACCTTTGAAAAGTTCAGGAACCTCAGGAGTCAATATTGATTTATTGGAATGTTCAAAAGCTTTTTCCAAATCTGTGATTAATTTCCATAGTGCATCCTTTTGGGATTTTATGTTACGTTTAGTAGGAGTTTTAATTTTATCACCAACAAATTCACTAAGTAAGAGATCTAAATGATCACGTTCCGCTTGGATAGATTTGATTTGCAAGTCTAAATCGTCTGTAGAGTAAATTGCTGAACCAATATTTTGTTTTATATACATAACACCAAATCGCTCAAGTGCTTCGTCGAAGGCGAAATAATGACCTGGAGAAGTTAGATTAACAGAAGAAACATATTGAAGAATGCCTTGCAAATTAGAATCCTTTTGAACATTGTATATGTATTGTGTAACAGATTGTGAATAATTGCTTTTACCAGCAATCGGAAAAAGTGGTGCAAATGCAAAGATTTTGGAACTGAAGATCATGATTTCCATAACGGATTCCCGTTTTATGACCAAGCCAAAGGCCCGCCCACAAAAAAAACAAATACCATATTTTCGGAAGATAATAGTCACAATCTAAAATATCCTTCATTGATATGTTTTTTTTTCTGGCATATAAATGGAGTGAAACGCCTACACCAATCCAAATATGTTCAATTACTCGGCAGGTAGCTGAATAATCAACTACTTTCTCCAATTTTTCCAAATAGCTAACTCCTAAATTTGCAGCCAAATTATAGATGCCGTATCCAGAAAATATTGTTAGAAGAGTACCACACATTGCCTTTGATGTGTGCCAAGCACCTAATAAGAGGCGAATTTCTGTCTCTGATTCATTTAACTTATTAAGCTTCCTAAAGATGGACTCATCACTTGAAAGATCTAAATGGCCAGTACTATCTAAACCAATGTCATCATAATATATTCTTGCTGCCGCATGTATATTCATAGTATTATTATGATCCTCACCAGGTTTCAAAATAATGACATTGGGTGGTTCGATGAGACACCCTATTTCTACATTTTTCCATAGTTCTTCTTGAACTTGTGCAACATCAAAATCTCTTCCATATAAATTCCATAGTAAGGAAAAGGTATTCTCGAAATGTTCTATCTCTTTTTCAGTAAAGGTTGACATACCAACGTGAAAAGAATGTCCTAAAACAAGATCAGAATTTGAACTTATTGTTGACAAAGGATGAGGTAATTTGAATTGAAAAACCATCCGCAATGTAGAATGGGTTGTACGTCTGGTAACATCAATATATCATTATAACCAAATGTTTTTTCTTGAAAATCTATGTTATCCATCACACACAAATTCCATATATTCTCATTATTTCTAATTAATTTTCCAGAAATATCAAGTTCATTTGCTCTTTTCATTGCTAATTTCCTTTCATGTCTTTGGGTATGTGAGATTACATTGGCCATACAAAGCATCGCATAGAGTGATTCTTGGAGTTTTTTTCTCCTACATAAAGAACTCATCACATAATTAAGCCAAAAGTTAATACCAGGAAAAGCAACTGAATGCAAAACAGATATTAAAAAGATGGATATTTTTTTTGGACACATTGTTTCGAAAGGGATTTCATCCAATAATCTTTGCCTACGTTTTTTTTGAACCATCTCCCATTTTTTTCGTTGAAGTAGAATTAGAAGTCCATTAAAAAATTCACGTATGTATATAGGAAATCCATTACAATATTGATCTAGATTTTATGGGTCCTCTAATTCTTTTTTTTTTCACATATTTCAGGTCTTGAATGCCAAATAACAGTTCCCAATGATTCCCCAAGTTCTTTGGGGTTGTTTTTTATTAGTTCAATATATTGGTTTATGTGTCCCAATTTTTTCAGATTTACTCTACTAAGTCTGAGAGCAGTTTTGAATATTAAGAAGTTTGGAGGATTTGAATTTGGTGAATCTAATAAGTTTTCACGAAATTGTGATAACAACTTAACAGCCTCTTCAAACCTAATGTTATCATATTCTAAATAGATCATTTATTCAATACATATATGTTTATGTATTTAATACAAAATTAATAAAAAATCTATGTGTATATTGATATATATTACATTTAATATGAAATAATAAATAAATCTATTCATACATAATTGATACTAAATCAAAAAACTAACCATCATATTTAGTAGTATCTTGATACTGGTGTTTGTAAATTTTCATATTTACATTATGGTTTAATGCGCTATCTTTTTTTATAAGGATAACTGCAAAAATGCCTTTAATACTCAATTGATAGAAGATATCTTTAAGTTGTTCTTCATGGGTTATGTTAATTGTATTAATGAAGAATTTCGCTTTGTAAAAAGCATTCACCACTTGAAATAAAAATTTTCTAAATTATAATTAACAAATTTACAATGATTAATTATATTATGATAAATTTCAAATAAAAAAAAATAAAAAGATTTCTTACTGACTCCTCAACTTCATGAAGCAAAATTATTTGGATTTTATCAAATTGGTGTTTAAGTAATAATGATTTACCATCAGATATAGAAGTTGGTTGCGTTTGTAACAATTGTTTTCTTTTAAAAAATTTTGAAAGTGAAACTGAGAGCTCTTCAAGAAGTAAATTTTTAATTATTTGATCGGATGATGTTGAAATATTTTGTAAACATTCTCCAAAGAGCTTGAGAGACTTGGAATTGTCTTCATTGTGGTCTTCAATATAAGTGTGTAATGCTTTCACACCTCTACCTTTTTGTTGGTAATTGTGTCCCCCTTCGGATTCAAAACATAATGTGCAGATATATCATGGATATGTTTCATTTGTTGAACCCACAAAAATATTTTCGACAAAAACTGGACAAACTTTTAAACCACAACATGGTACATGAACATTTCGTTCTAAAACGCTCTTAGAATGTTGTGTACATCCATCTCCTCTACTATAATAAAATTTATCATAATTACAAAACAAACAACGTCTTTTATATATCCATGCGTCATGAGTAGGAACACTGTTTTTTAAATGTAATAAATGATTTTTATTATCAAAACTGTAGTGACTTGAGCATGTACCCAACAGAGCTGTCGCATCTGGTTGGTTCACTTTGATGGCTTTATTAACCTCATCAAAATCTAATTCCCAGATACCCAAAAGTTGATGAAGAGGACGAAATATAGTATTTTTACAACGTTGTAACTTTCCATTCACAAGATCAACAATTACACATCTATCATTATCATTAATAGTCTTTTTTTCTTCACTTAACATATGGACAGAATCTTCAAACTCGTCAATGGTTGAAGTCCACAAAGAACCCACATCAGATTGCACATCAAAATCTGATGATAACCAATCTATATCATTTTCTATCTAAAAATTCTTCGGAATTTTCAATAAATTTTTTTACATTGCTTAATGACTCCTCATTAAAATCAATACAATAGCTATTTTGATCAGTATTTATCAAAGAAGTCATTGTTGATGATGTGGGTATAGAAAAATTATCTGTATAAGTGTCATCATCAAGGGTTTCATATTCTTTATCAGGATCATCGTAACCCACTTCCATACACATATATTTGTTATTGTTATTGCTATGATTATTCATTCTAAATATTTGTACAAAACATATAACATTAAATAATTAAATTATGTCTATGGATTTGTCAGTTTTATAATAAGTGAATTTAATATTAATATAATACATTAAATTTAACCAATTCCGATTCTTTCAATTCTTTGACGTTTTACTATTCTATAAAGTTCATTCTTTTAATTGAATGTACAATAATAAGTAATCGTGAGTGTGTGAAGAAGATTTTAAAAAAAAATTACGTAGCACAAGAAATTGTATTTTGACAAAATTGAAAACATCGGCTATAGTCTCATGAACCTCTATGATCTTGCATTTTCTGAAAAAAATAACTTTACAATAATAAAATTCAAGTTATAAAACTATAGGTTTGATATAGTTTAAATAATGGATTACCTAACTAAAAGAATGGATTTTGTAGAAAATAAAGAAAAAAAAAAGTGAAAATCTTAATAAATTTAATATTTTTATTTAACATCTAATGTTATTTTATAGGTAGTACATAAAAATTAAGGACAAAATTTTAATTTTAATTTTTGGTTAAGATAAACCTAATCGCTGTCAGTGTTGCCTTTTTAAATCATTATTTATCGGTTTTGTCCAAAAACATATTTAAAATTAACGTTAACGTTATTTGGGGCATGCTGCAACAAAACCAGACAAAGTGAACATTGATATTACCAAAAATTTCAGGGATCAAAATTTAGTAATG